CTTACAGGTAGCATATATTCCTTGTTCCCTCTATTCTTATATCTCTATGAATGAACCTCTCTCAGTCGCAGTTGAATAGACTAACCAAAAACGCCCGTTTCATAGTTTCCAACCTAATAAATGATCACGCCTTTCAGTTGAAGAGAGTGTATGTTTGCCAGAATAATTCTCGGACAAGTTTTTGTAGGTAACCGATATAATTTCCAAAAATTTAGAGAGATTTTGGAACTAAATTACAGAAATAACGGGTCTGATAATTCCGTAAACCCGTTATTTTTGTAAATTTGGTTCTCCGCTACGAGTCGCCACTTAACGAGAAACTGAGGTCGTGACTAAATGATAGACGTACTTTTTACCTCTCAAGTAGTATAACTCAATGGTTGGCCAGACGTTATAATCAAAAACAGGCGAAATTCAACAAGCTATAACTTTCGTAAAAATGACGCTATGGAGATCGTTTAACACTTTCGTTGCCGCGCCAGCGCGTGATATGGCGTCAACGCTATAGAGCCAATCACGGGCCAGCACTGGGTGATGTATCAGTAACTAATCAGGCTGGGCTGACTAATCATCAACACATCCCCACGTGACCGGCAGCCAATGTGTCAAGTAAATATTACTTGAATGTGTGTAGCACTTTTTCGCCCCGGCAGTCAACGTGTTAAGAAACACTTTAAAGTCTCTAGTTTTTAACCACATTAGCTATATTAACGTTGTCATTAATTTTCATCACGATATTTATTAAACGAAAAATGACGACCGCTCAATTTTAAACTTCGTCTTTATTGAGTTGAGTTTTCAGAGCGAAAAATTATTTGATTCGAAAATATATTTGTTAACGAATATAGAATCGCTGTGGCTATCTGAACCGTGTGAAGGAGACAGACATTTTCGCGCCTTAAATGTCGCTCACTTCACTTTCCGAAGCCACCTCAAGAGATTCGTTCGGCCACACGGATGTTATGCACGAGTCGGCGGAACGTCCTCTGTCGGCCGACAGTTGATTCCTGTGCACAGCCGATCGATAAAAAAGGGCGCGAAATTCACACGACACGGGCGACACTGGGAAAGAATGTTCGGTGTCGGTATATGAACTTTCGCATTCTGGTAACGTAGCAATCAGTCGTGAGAGACTATTCGTGTGGAAGGAAAAAAAATATATAGTCGTCGCGGTAATAGCGCAGAGTGCGAGCGATCGACCGACTCGATCAGGGAACGCTGACGCTTCGTGTTACCGAATTGGAGGTCTCACAAAATCGCGTGACAGCACGAACGACTCTCGAATGACAGAACAAGAACGAAGGGACGATCCTAACCTGAAGGAGGAGCGAGGAGCAACTCCGCCGCGCAAGATTCGCCACCGGTAAGTCTATACACATACGCTGATAAGGCGCACTTGATGGGGAAAAAAATGGTCTTTCTCGCAAGATGAAAAGAGACCGAGATTGGTGAGAATGATAACGTGACGTTAGTCGTGAACGTTAGTTCGCACGTTGCTACCAGCCGGTCGTGATGCACGGACTTTGTGCGGTAGGACCGCATCGTCCGAGACCAATCACCGCGGCCGCTACGTCGCCTGATGCTCCACTCGGCCAATCGCCGCGCTCCCTTCATTTTTCCACGACCTCATGCGAAAATCTATAAAGGACCGTCTACATTGGAGGTAATAAGAATGCCTACGTTGGAAATGAGTAGTATTGAGTAAAGAATATTGGTTGGTAGTAAGGCAGTGGGAATGGTGTTACGAAAAGTGTTACTACCTCCAACGTAGACGGTCCTGAAGCCGGTGTTCATTCAAAATCCGATGACACGTCAAAGTATATTTGTTCTTCGTGAAAGAAACGAACTGTATCAAGGTAGATAGGGGGAGGGAGAAAAAGGAAAAAAAGTTGAACTTCGCCCCGTCGCGCATACGTGCGCGCAAATTCAAGTCCCTCTCTGATACCGTCGTGCATAGTCAATAGAGATTTCTACAATCAGTTAGTTAGTATTAGTTGGCGACCGAGCTCGATGCGCCGAATGTCGCAGTTCTAACAAGGACTCGCGATTCCTTCCAGACAGCACAGTAATATTCTATGGATGTTCCTACGAATATTCATTACGAATGTACATCGCCGTGTATTCATTACGAATGTACATTCGCCGTGTAACGTGCCGAAAACATTGTTTTATATTCATAAAATATTTTCCGGGCTACATTCCCAAATGTTCTTACTGAGAAAGAAATCAGCAAATTTGTTGATAAAACCTGCCTAAAATTGTCCTCGGAAAAACGTTTGGAAATGTAGCCTCGAAGAGTGCGAATGCACAGAGATATCGTTTGAGCGCGTGTCGTGTTAATTTTTGCAACAACTGACGCGGCTTATCTCGCTCGTCGTGAAATACTTATTGATTTATCACAACCGCGCGCGAATGATTCGTTTCAGCATGCGAGTCGCTCGAATGATCAATAGGCGCGAGTGTAACAATAAGCACGGCAATGAGGTGAACATAAAATGCTCTTCAACGAATTTATTTACATAAGATATGCAAACAAGCAGATATCTGTTATCCGTATGTCGCGAACTCACTGCCTTCTTCGCGAGGTTTCTCAAGGAGGAAGGCTAGAAATTCGACGAGAGGACCTTCAAGTTAGCCTTACAACTGGCTTAAACTCTCTCAAACCCACAGATTTAGCTGATGAAATTTACACACTGAAGCGAGTGTACATTTCTTCGACTAACGCGGCCAGTTCTAAAAGACCAATTGCTTCTCGATCGATGCTTACGTGTGCTATGAGACTAATTCAACCGGATTGTCACGCCATGCTTCACGGAATCTATTCGGCGACCCTTGAACTCGCACGGCTCATCCGGTCGAGCGACATATGCTCGAAACTGCGACGGTGCGTGACTTCCTCCGCTTTTGTTGATATCTTCGTTTAGATCGGCGCGCGGTGTCAGTAGTCGCCTCGTCTTCGGTGGTCGTCGATCGGTGAGAGAGAGAGAGAGAGAGAGAAGATACGCGCGTCTTCTTCACATCATTGTGAGAAGTGACGAACGCTGCGGTGGCATGCTACGCTCTCTTCTGGGTTACTTGTTCGGTACTTGCTGTAATTCTCTTATCGTCTCACTCCTCCCTCTTTCTTCTTCTTCGTTTGTCAATTGAAAATCCGCTCTTCTTATTCTCCTCCCTTTTCTCCCTCTTGTTTCTCTTACCGTTCAACTCCTTTTTTAAACGCGTGAGCGCAGCTTGTATAAGTGATCTCTTCCTACCGAGGACTCCGCTCGTCCCTCTCACAAGAGTTTCTCTTTCAAAAGGATCGTTCCGTGGTAACGATTGTTCCGCTGATTCCTTTGGGTGAGTAGTGAATTCCTTCGGATTCATTGTCTTCCTCTTGCTATCTACTACCCGAGAGACATCTTGAAATCGCTGTTCTGTTAGTGAAATAACGTTCTCTGCTCGAGAGATAGTCGTTCAAACGAATTGTCGATCCTCATCGAGCGCAGCGTGCGAATGTGTTTTGAAGGTAACGTCGAGTACGGGCAGCCGTCCGATCCTTTCGACCGTTCATCAGGATCGAGCGAGGAGGTCCCCGCTTGCTCGCGGTTCACTCGCGAGATGTCGGAAACACCGGTGAGCTTCGTCGTTGGGGAGCCCGATCCCAGCGAAGTGCTGGAGATCCAGGACAGTTTTCCGAGCGAGGGAGGCGAAATCGCCGGCTTGCAGTCGCAGGTACAGCCTCTAAATGTCGCAACGGGATTGGTAGAACGCCGGAAGCGCCTCAGGTGATTTTTTTCTTCTCAGTTCACGAGACGAGCAAAAGCGGATTCGCATGATCGAGCCCCACCGAGGGTAAACAAAATTGCTAGGTATTTCAGAAGCTTCATCACGGCTCTGCGTGCCGCGGTCGTGTCACGCGATCCACCGTTTCTGTGCAATTCGTAGGTATCCATCGTGTGACATATCGTGAAAGAAAAAATGGAATATAGAAAAGAAGAAACGAAAATCACACGCAATTACGCAACGCTTAGCCTGTTGTCGTCGCGTACGCGTCAGAGTAGCAGAGAAGGGAGGAAAGCATGCATTTTTTTTTTTATGTGTGACCTCCCTTCGTCACCTCTGTGACGAAGAATGTATGAATATTCAGGACTTACACGTTACCGTTACTTTATTCGATAAAAATGGACTTTTTTTGCAGCGAATTCAGTCGCACCAATCGCAAAATTGCCAAAGCATAACGTGATCATTTTATTACGTCATCATGCATTACATAACAGGACGTATTTATCGGATGATATTTCATTGGTCGAGATGCTTATACACTGTGTTTATATTATTTGCGCTTACATAACTTTGTGTATAAATTTGAATGCGGAGAGTAGCGTATATATACGTTCGTTACTCTCTCTCTCTCTCTCTCTCTCTCTCTCTCTCTCTCTCTCTCTCTATCTGTCATTAAAAAGTGCACTAAGAAGAAAAACACCACATTAGCTTTCATAATGACTAAACTTCATGTGATTATCAGCTCACTAGGTACTCTCGAAGAATTGGTAACGCAATGTGCAATTTTTCTCTTTTATCTACAATAACGTGTAATATATATGTATACGGTGTCGTGTATGCGTTCCATGAATCGAAAATTATATAATTTTCAAAATAACTATTATAAAAAGCTTTTAGATTAAAAAATTAACTACCAAGGCCTATAAGAGCTGAGGAATAAGTGTAAAAATAATGGTTCAAAATCTTCCAACTTGTAGTAAAAATTACTAACTACCAAGGCTTTGGTGGTTAATTTTCGATCGATTTTTGCTTTACACATATGGTATAAATTAATAATATCTTGCTCGCTCGATGTAATGTTCTTTCGTGTGGCAGTATCAACGTAAGGAAACATCACACACAATTGCGTAATATATCTTGCATTGCGTTTAAATTATCGGTGTATTACGCGATCGCAAGTTCGAAATATTCATTCGCATTCAAGTCTGTATAATCGTATCCATGGTAGAGATGATGGCTTTCAAAAGGGTTCGATAGTCTTTCACACAAAGCTGACAATGGCTTCTCGTTCCATAAACTAATAAGCAAATGCTTGGTAAGCACATTGCACGGCGGCGTCGCATCACGATGTAACGACGATACGTAAAATTGGTAATTTTTGATTACACCATCCCTAATGTTATATCTCAGCGTGCATTATTACATACGATGTGTGCGGCTGGAATATTTTACGTTAAAAATATATTTAAGACGAATCTCAGTTCGCCGAAATTACGTTTCGTATAAAATTCACGAAAAGAGAAGATACATTCGCTTAATGTGGTCTTTACGTTCCCATACGTCACTCGTTTCCACAAAAGTAGAACAGGAATTTCTCAACATTGCCCGAAAATACATATTGAGGATAATGCGTAGTCGAAAATAAAACCCCGTGCTGATGTAGATAGACGTTTTTTTTCTATTTTTAAGGATCGCACGTCGTGAAGGTAGGGGAATTACTGCGCGTCGAAGGAAAAAACTGTCAGTCAGGGAATACCGTATCGAGAACTGGTTAGTGAGCACTGGTCTTCCTAACGGCCAGCGCAACGTTAAGTGTGTGCGATTTCTTCTTCGTTGGCAAATCAAGCTCTGAAATTCGAGATTCTGTAAGACCGTGGCTTATCTCTCTTTTTTTTTCTATGAAATATTTGCGAGATATTTTCTTTATTTATATATATATATATATATATATATATATATATATATATATATNGTGTTACGATTTTTCATATTTTATTTTCATATTTTATTTACTGGACATTTTTACATCGGGGAGAGGAGACAGCCGGCATTTATATGTCATTTAAATTCTTTTCTTTACTAACACGTCTCATTCTTTGAATGCGTCGAAGCTGAATAACCAGTCCAACCTTTTTGTATTATCGCTTACGTTACGGCTTTTTGTAAGAATATCTTTGTTAATTATTCTTTCCTTTTGCGACTTTATTAGTCGTACAAAGTAATATTTTGAGTGTCAATGACGGGCAATTTTTCGATGACGCGCGAAAAATCGAGCCTATCTCGAACGGAATATAAAATCATGATGATGTTGAAATGTCAAGGAAATAACAGTAAACATTTCTTTTCCGACCATCATTCGATCGTTTTCTCGTTATTTTGATGCCATCTCGATTTTCTTCGTGATATCTCCGTAATTTGCAGAATTATCTGTGAAATTATATGAAGAGAAAGGTTTGTTTAAATCCAATATTCTTTGTTTGACTTGTTTGGCTCAACAACATAATTTTACATCAAATATCATTTCGTTTCTTTAGATTAAACCGTATTATTCGATAGAAAAGAAAGAAGAATAGAAAGAATGAAAGAAATAAAATTTAATTTTCAACCGAATATTATATCATCGGTTATATTTTAAATTATTTTTTGATGGATTAAATTATGTTATTTGATTGAAAAAGGAAAAGGATTATTTTATATGTTTCGTTTTTTGATCTATTGTTTAAATTAACCAATGTAATGTTTGGTTAAATATCTAAAAGCAATCGTGGCGTTTCTAATTCGTTAGTGTATACCCTGTCACAATATATCGTTATATATTGACATTTGTTGCATTGTTTTCCACGAAACAATAAAATTACTTGAAAAGTCAAACAATTGTTGAATCAAAAATGTTTGGACAAACACTAGAGCAACACAGCTTTCACAATGATTTTCTTTTTCACGCAGCTTCTCTCGCATTATTGCGAAAGTAAAATAAGGTGTAACAGTTATAAATTTCCCAAGTCCATCCGCATATGATCGTAGGAACAGTCGGTCGTTATCTGCGACTCTGTGTGTCCATTCATTTCTGGCAACGGATTTTCACGACCGTTTGGACACTTTTATCCGCGAGTCGTATAATGAGGCGGATAAAGAGATTCGTCTTGGCGGAAAAGACAGAAAAGGATCCAAATTGGAAGAGTTCGGACAATTTGTTGGCGCGTGTCTCTAAGAACATGTCGAACGACGAAGAAGGCAGCAAGCCCGACGAGGAGGAGTCGCAACATCCGTCGACGTTAGGACTAACGTAATCACATTTCACTTTTAGCGGTCGTCGAATGTTCTTTTTGCCACGTTATTTGCGCTAACCCTTTCCCGGCCCGATTGACCCCCTTTGACGAGATAAGAGTACGAAATGCTAGCTGTTTAAGCTGTCAATCCGAACACCTTACTTCCTGATTGGATCGACGATACGATATCTGTTTTTGCTCGTAATGAACTAAATATCAATGCACACATATATGTTTGGTGCGATATCGTTCGTGGAATACCGAGCGGAATTGTGACTATGTGTATGATTTGACAGGCCCAGTATGTCGCAGGGCACGGTGATGATTCAAGCGCAAAGCCGGCACCACGAGAAGGATTTCACCGTCGCAACCCCGGAAGAATTCGTCCATCGTTTCGGTGGCACCAGAGTCATCAACAAGGTAAGCGAATGGGGAAAAGTTGGTGATGAGAAACGAAGAAAATTTCCAAAGAAGAAATGATGTTGGCGCGACGTGAAAATTAAACGTTCGTTAAAACTCAGTTGGGAGAGCAATTGATTAAAATCTCTTATAATACATTTTTCCTCTCAGGTATTAATTGCCAACAATGGTATCGCAGCGGTAAAATGTATGCGATCGATTCGACGATGGTCTTACGAGATGTTTAAAAACGAGAGGGCCGTGCGTTTTGTAGTGATGGTCACGCCGGAAGATTTGAAGGCGAACGCGGAATACATCAAAATGGCAGATCAGTACGTGCCTGTACCGGGTGGGACCAACAACAACAATTACGCTAACGTGGAACTGATCGTCGATATCGCGATACGTACTCAAGTCCAAGCAGTTTGGGCCGGATGGGGCCACGCTTCGGAAAATCCGAAACTTCCGGAACTGCTCCACAAAAATAACATCTGCTTTATTGGTATAAACATTAAGAAAATTACAGAGGGAAAGAAAGGAAAATTCTCGCGTTTTGAGTAGTCGTAAGAGTTGTTAAGATTGTCGCTCCCAATCAATATGTATATATATATATATATATATATATATNCTTTTCTCATACGCAGGACCGTCCGAGAGGGCTATGTGGGCTCTGGGTGACAAAATCGCGTCCAGCATAGTCGCCCAGACCGCGGACGTGCCGACTCTTCCTTGGTCGGGGTCGGGATTAAAAGCACATTACAGCGGAAAGAAGATCAAAATATCTTCGGAACTCTTTAGGAAAGGATGCGTCGCCAGCGTAGAGGAATGTCTAGCAGCGGCCAACAAGATCGGTTTCCCGATCATGGTGAAAGCGAGCGAAGGTGGTGGCGGTAAAGGAATCAGGAAGGTTGAAAATGCCGAAGAATTGCCGGCTCTGTTTAGGTGAGGTTTCAACAGTGTAAATGATTTTTGCTGAATATATTTCACGTCGAACGATTGATTGGTTTAGACAAGTGCAAACCGAAATACCGGGCTCACCGATATTCATCATGAAACTGGCCAAGTGCGCTCGTCACTTGGAAGTGCAATTATTGGCTGATAATTATGGCAATGCGATATCATTGTTCGGACGTGACTGCTCCATCCAGAGAAGGCATCAAAAGATCATCGAGGAGGCGCCAGCTGTCATAGCCCAGCCAGAAGTTTTCGAAGAGATGGAAAAAGTATACATATGGTTAACCGAGTTAGGCATTAAAAACGAGGATATTAACTAGTGACTTTCTTCGCTGTAGGCCGCTGTGAGGCTAGCGAAAATGGTGGGATATGTTAGCGCGGGTACCGTCGAGTATCTTTACGACACAACTGGTAGGTATTACTTCCTGGAGTTGAATCCTCGCCTCCAAGTGGAGCATCCTTGCACCGAGATGGTGTCGGATGTGAATTTGCCGGCGGCTCAGCTGCAGATAGCGATGGGCTTGCCGTTGCACCAGATCAAAGACATACGTCTTCTATACGGCGAGAACCCCGACGATCAAATTGATTTCGATCAGCCACGTCACAAGCCTCAACCGTGGGGCCACGTGATCGCGGCTCGAATCACCAGCGAAAACCCGGACGAAGGTAAAATGATTTCGTCTCTCTCGAGGAAAGAGAGGAATGATTATTCTCGCTCTCGGCTTTCAGGCTTCAAACCGAGTTCCGGTACGGTGCAGGAATTGAATTTTCGCTCGTCCAAGAACGTGTGGGGCTACTTTTCGGTCGGAGCGTCGGGCGGGCTTCACGAGTTCGCGGACTCGCAATTCGGCCATTGCTTCTCGTGGGGCGAAAACCGCGACCAAGCCAGGGAAAATTTGGTCGTAGCTTTGAAGGAGCTGAGCATCAGAGGCGACTTTAGAACAACGGTCGAGTACCTGATCACTTTGCTGGAAACCGAGTCCTTTCTGAAGAACAATATAGACACAGCCTGGCTCGACTTACTGATCGCGGAACGCGTGCGAAGCGACAAACCGGACGTTCTGCTGGCCGTCACCTGCGGTGCGCTTCACATCGCCGACCGAACGATCACAGCCGCTTTCGCTGGATTTCAGACAGCGTTGGAGAAAGGCCAGATACAAGCCAGCAACGATCTGGACAACGTCGTTAACGTGAGTTTCTTTTCCGCTCTTCTTTTCGCTCGACCTCTCCGCATGTGTGTTTACCTACTGCGCGCAGGTAGAGCTCATCAACGACGGGTACAAGTACAAGGTGCAAAGCGCCAAGTCCGGTCCCAACAGCTACTTCCTCGTGATGAACGGCTCCTACAAGGAGGTGGAAGTTCATCGCATGTCGGACGGCGGGCTGCTGCTTTCACTGGACGGTGCCAGTTTCACGACTTACATGAGGGAGGAGGTGGATCGTTACAGGATCGTAATCGGCAATCAGACGTGCATCTTCGAGAAGGACAACGACCCGTCCCTGCTGAGATCGCCGTCCGCCGGCAAGCTGATCAGTTTCCTAGTCGAAGACGGTGGCCACGTCGGCGCCGGTCAGGCCTACGCCGAGATCGAAGTGATGAAGATGGTGATGACCGTGACCGCCGGCGAGGCGGGCAGCGTGTATTACGTGAAGAGGCCCGGCGCCGTGTTGGAGGCCGGCACATTGATCGCGCATCTCGAGCTGGACGATCCGTCGCTGGTGACGAAGGCGCAGGAGTACACGGGCCAGTTCCCTGTGCCGGCGGCGTCGGCCGTGCCGGAGAAGCTGAATCATCTTCACGCCAAGTATCGCAACGCTCTGGAGAACACACTGGCCGGCTACTGCTTGCCGGACCCGTATCATCTGCCGCGGCTGCGCGAACTGATCGAGAAATTCATGTTCTCGCTGCGCGATCCCAACCTGCCGTTGCTGGAGCTGCAAGAGGTGATCGCGACGATATCCGGCCGGATTCCCGTCCCGGTCGAGAAGAAGATTCGCAAGCTGATGTCCCTGTACGAGCGCAACATCACTTCGGTCCTGGCCCAGTTCCCCAGCCAGCAGATCGCCGCGGTGATCGACGGGCACGCGGCGACCCTCTCGAAGAGAGCCGAACGGGACGTGTTCTTCCTGACCACTCAGACGATCGTGCAGTTGGTCCAACGGTATCGCAACGGTATACGGGGTCGCATGAAGACCGCCGTGCACGAGCTCCTCCGGCAGTATTACACGGTCGAGAGCCAATTCCAGCAGGGCCACTACGACAAGTGCGTCTCCGCGCTGATAGAGAAGCACAGGGACGACGTTGCCACGGTGACCGGTATGATATTCAGTCACAATCAAGTGACGAAGAAGAACGTCCTGGTGACCATGCTGATCGACCACCTGTGGGCGAACGAGCCCGGCCTCACGGACGAGTTGTCCAGCACGTTGACGGAACTGACCAGCCTGAACCGGACGGAGCACAGTCGCGTCGCGCTCCGAGCCAGGCAGGTGTTGATAGCCGCCCACCAACCCGCCTACGAGCTCAGGCACAATCAGATGGAGTCCATCTTCCTCTCGGCGGTGGACATGTACGGGCACGACTTCCACCCGGAGAATCTGCAGAAACTCATCCTCTCGGAGACGTCGATCTTCGACATCCTTCACGACTTCTTCTACCACTGTAATCGCGCGGTCTGCAACGCCGCGCTGGAGGTCTACGTGAGACGGGCTTACATCAGCTACGACCTCACGTGCCTGCAGCACTTGGAGCTGTCCGACGAGATCCCGTTGGTGTACTTCCAGTTCGTCCTGCCCAGCAATCATCCGAACCGGCAGAATCAGTCCCTGGTGGATCATCGAGCCGGCGCGATGGCGGCCTTCCAGGATCTCGAGCAGTTCGGCCAGTACGCGGACGAGGTGCTGGACCTGCTGGAGGAGGATCTGTCGAGCCCCGCGGTGCCCGCGAAGCTGCTGGAGGACGAGTCCCGGCACAGCGCGTCGTTGAGCGTGGCGGAGGGCGCGGCGGCGTCCAGCGACGGCTCGTCTGAGCCGGTTCACATACTGAGCATCGCCGTGAGGGAGAACGGCGCCGAGGACGACGCCACCATGGCCAGATTGTTCGGGGACTGGTGCGCGAGCAACAAGGACGAGCTGATATCCCGCGGCATCCGCAGGGTGACGTTCGCCGCGCTCAAGCGTAAACAGTTCCCCAAGTTCTTCACTTTCCGTCAGCGGGACGGTTTCGTCGAGGACAGGATCTACCGTCACCTCGAGCCCGGCTGCGCCTTCCAGTTGGAGCTGAATCGCATGAGGACGTACGACCTCGAGGCGCTGCCGACCTCGAACCAGAAGATGCATCTGTACCTCGGACAGGCGAAGGTGGCCAAGGGCCAGCAAGTGACCGATTACCGTTTCTTCATCCGCTCGATCATACGGCATTCCGATCTGATCACGAAGGAGGCGAGCTTCGACTACCTCCACAACGAGGGCGAGCGCGTCCTGCTCGAGGCCATGGACGAGCTGGAGGTCGCCTTTTCGCACCCGCTCGCCAGGCGGACCGAGTGCAATCACATCTTCCTGAACTTTGTCCCTACGGTGATCATGGACCCCGCGAGGATCGAGGAGAGCGTCACCAGCATGGTGCTGCGGTACGGGCCGAGGTTGTGGAAGCTGCACGTGCGCCAGGCGGAGATCAAGATGACGATACGACCGGCCCCGGGCAAGCCGACCTCCAACGTGCGCCTCTGCATCGCCAACGACAGCGGCTACAGCATCGACCTGCATCTCTACACGGAGGCCACCGATCCCAAGACCGCCGGTATCATCCGTTTCGAGTCTTATCCGTCGCCAGCCGCGAACGCGGCCAATTGGCGGCCGGGTCCTATGCACGGCCTCCCGATCTCGACGCCGTACATGACCAAGGACTACCTCCAGGCGAAGAGGTTCCAGGCCCAGAGCTCCGGCACGACCTACGTCTACGATCTGCCGGACATGTTCCGCCAGCAAGTCGAGAGGACGTGGCAGAGGTACATTGAGGAGAGGCAGCAGCCTTCGAACTTCGGCTCGATTCCCAACCCGGTGATGGACGTCGTCGAGCTGGTGCTGGACGGCGAACAGCTGGTCGAGCAGAAGCGACTGCCCGGCGAGAACGACGTCGGCATGGTCGCCTGGCGGCTGACCCTCTACACCCCGGAATATCCGTTCGGCCGTGACGTCATACTGATCGCGAACGATCTGACCTATTTGATCGGCTCGTTCGGAACGCGCGAGGACCTGGTGTTCTGCAGAGCCTCGGAGAGGGCCCGCCGGCTCGGCTGCCCGCGGATATACTTCAGCGCCAACTCCGGGGCTCGCATCGGCCTGGCTGAGGAGGTGAAGGCGCTCTTCAGAATCGCCTGGGAGGACGAGAGCGAGCCGGAGAAAGGTTTCAAGTACATCTACCTCACCCCCGACGACTATGCGCGCTTGGCGCCCCTGAACTCGGTGAAGGCCTCACTGATCGAAGATCCTGCCGGCGAGTCCCGGTACAGGATCACGGACATCATCGGCAAGGACGACGGCCTGGGAGTGGAGAACTTGAAGTACGCCGGTCTGATCGCCGGTGAAACGTCGCGAGCCTACGAGGAGATCGTCACGATATCCGTCGTGTCGTGCCGCGCGATCGGCATCGGCTCTTATTTACTGCGCCTTGGCCAGAGGGTAATCCAGATTGAGAACTCGCACATCATCCTAACCGGATACAGAGCGCTGAATGCCGTTTTGGGCCGTGAGGTTTACGCCAGCAACAATCAGCTGGGCGGCACGCAGATCATGCATTACAACGGGGTGTCGCACGCGACCGACGCGCGAGACCTGGACGGGGTGGCGACCGTTCTCAAGTGGCTCAGCTATTTCCCCAGAAGCAAAGGCGCCCCGTTGCCGATGCTGTTGCCCGTCGTAGACTCGATCGACCGGGAGGTTGCTTACATGCCTACGAAAACGGCCTACGACCCGAGGTGGATGCTCGAGGGCAGGCATTGCAGCGAGTCGAACGCCTGGGAGAGCGGATTCTTCGACCGGGGCTCGTGGCACGTGAGTCTCTCTATTGTGTGTTCTACCTTCCTTGACGGAACGATCGTCGTTAACTTGTCTCGCATAAACAGGAGATAATGAGGCCGTGGGCGCAGACGGTGGTGACGGGACGGGCCAGACTCGGCGGCATACCATGCGGCGTGATCGCCGTCGAGACGAGGACCGTCGAACTGCATTTGCCGGCCGATCCGGCGAATTTTGACTCGGAAGCGAAAACCATATCCCAAGCGGGCCAGGTCTGGTTCCCGGACAGTGCCTATAAAACCGCCCAGGCTGTTAAAGATTTCGGGAAGGAGGAGATACCGCTCTTCATCTTCGCTAATTGGAGAGGCTTTTCCGGAGGCATGAAAGGTGAGGGGATTTCATCTTTCGGATATCATTGTATTCAATTCAAAATCATAAAGTTTTTGTAATATTAGATCTCGCAAAACTTTTGTACGAAACGAAATTTTTCTCGAAAATCGAGATTCACAAACATTTGACTTCTTCGTATTATCTTTCCAATCTTTCGAATTATCTCACTCTTGTTCGTCGTTTTACTCAATCGACAGATATGTATGAACAAATTATCAAGTTCGGCGCGTACATCGTGGACGGATTGCGAGAGTATTGCAAGCCGGTTTTCGTTTACCTTCCACCGAACGCGGAACTGAGAGGTGGCGCATGGGCTGTGGTGGATCCCACGATAAATCCTCGCTACATGGAGATGTTCGCCGACAACACCAGCAGAGGCGGCGTCCTGGAACCCGAAGCAATCGTAGAGATCAAGTTCCGAAATAAGGACATCGTGAAGACCATGCATCGAGTCGATTTGGTTATACACAAGTTAAAAGTGAGCAATTTCTCCTCGAATTCCTCCCATTTTATCCAGGAGGTCAAACCTTTTTTGAGATCTTTCTTGCTCGTTCATTTTGCTTCTTGCAGGAGAAATTGTCGGTCGCGAGCACGACGGAAGAACGAGCCGAGTTGGAGGCACAGATTCGCAAACGCGAGCAGACCTTGGAACCGATGTATCACCAGGTCGCCGTGCATTTCGCCGACCTGCACGACACCCCGGAGAGAATGTTCGAGAAGAACGCGATCCACGAGATAATACCGTGGAAAAAAGCACGACAGCTGTTCTATTGGCGATTGCGACGTAGACTCCTGGAGGAGGAGATCAGGACCGAGATCTTGTCGACGCAGCCTAGCCTCGACGTACGGCAAGTGGATGCGATGCTTCGACGATGGTTCATCGAAGACAAGGGCGCGACCGAGTCCTACCTGTGGGATCAGGATGAAGCCGCGGCCTGTTGGTTGGAGGCGCAACGTAAGACCGAAAACAGTGTCGTGTCGCGCAACATCATGTGTGTGAAGAAAGATGCGGTTGTGACGCGTATCAAGGAGGCGTTGGAAGCCTGCCCAGAGATCAGATTGGACGCGGTATTAGAAATCGCGCACAGACTGCAACCGGCTGAACGGGCGGAGCTGCAGAGAACTTTGTCGCAGTTAGAGGCGACCGGGCAGGAACACCATACGGACTCGAGCGTTTCGTCTTGAGTGTAGACCAATGCTTTTAACGACGTGTCGCTAGCAGTTGTTGTGCAGATGATAATACATTTCTTACGTTGGCAAAGGGTTAAGCAGATTCGACGCGATTCTTTTCCTCCTGATAGCGAAAGCAATCGGTAAAATTTTTAACAAGCTGAAACTTCAGCAGAATTTGGAGAAATTTCAATTGATGATGTTCGAACCTCACCGACGATCTGTCGATCTCAACGAACAATTGTTCCTCAATCATTGATTGTGTGACTGATTAAGTACTCTATAAATCTCTTTGAACAAATGTATTCTTCCGTGAAAGGCAATTGTGGCGAGCTTATGAACTTGTATGTATGATCATACGAAAAGATTATACAATAAGTATCCTCGTATATTCCTTCAGCTATGAATTCCTCGGCAAGCTTTAAATGCATTCTTCCGTAAGAAGAAGTTCCAAAGAGAACACCATTCTGTGTAACTTCCATTGATTATAAATTGTCTTTCATGCCGGTAGTTGCAGTCAGACCTTATATTTAGGTCTGACTAAATAAATCTTCATAAATTCATCCTCAGTACGGCTCATCTGAAGATGAATTTAAAGAAATATAAAGTCCGACAATGAACAAGGCTTCCCGTTGCTACCGTCCTTGTCGCGAATTCTTGCGTTATACGTTCAAATGAAAAGATACCAAATGACATCGTCAAATAAGGATAGTTGCAGCGAGCAGTCAGGAACTTTAATTGTCAATGAAAGTCATCTTTGTGTTAAGATAAATTCTAATATTAATCAACAAACGTTTTATTATTCATTTACTACAGCACCTATTGCTTTAACAACTTTTAATTTTCGTAACTATTAAAATTACCTTATTAATAAGAACTCATTTTTATCAATTTGATAAGGTGGCTTGACCGAAAGAATATGCATTACTAAAGTACATATGTATCATTAGGTTTCCTTTCCTTTTTCGCTGAACTTAGTGTATACTTATAGAACTTAAAGACAAATATATACAGTTAACTTGTAGTAAGAGAACTAGCTAAACTAAATGGAGTCAGTTCAGCGAAAAAGAACAGACCTATTGTATATAACAAAATATGAATGTACATTTGCATACACACATACGCAAATATATAATATATATTTATTTTTTGAAGAACGTACATACAGTTAATAGAGAGAAATGTTATATACAATGCGTAACTACCACACGTTTAAATTATTTCTCGGTGCATGCAACGAAAACGCTGTATACACACACATATCACATTTCTTTGAATTTTCTTTCGCGGAATCTCGTATGCATTTATGTGCTTACTTTGTCTTCGTATCAGTCTGTAATACATACGAGTTCGCACGAGTGATTCATACGAAAGATACTTGTGGTGCGTTTTTATCACAAGAATCGCTGGCTCTTCTTTTTTACATACATTCGAATAACCTTATAAAATATTAAAAAATGATGTATAATAGGATAACAATATAATTCTTGATCATTTCTAGCTGAGGGAGCCTACCCTCAAAAAACTGGTATTTGACTACGATGTACGTCTGTTAGATCATCATCTAGAGTAAGTAATACCATGAAAGAAAAGAACATTGCTAAGGCTGAAAGAAAATGCCATATGTCGTGAGAGTCGAAGAAGTTGAGTAACTCGCAAGGTTTATTGTGAATGCGGGACTGGGCTGGCGTGAGGGCCCAGGCCATCGACTTATTCACGAAGAAATACAAGGCTGCTCCCCAGAACAGCATCGATAAGACGATGTAGATCGCAGGTGTCAGAAGAATCCGTTCCCTATGGCACAACTATAAAATAGAAAATACGATTTTCGGCGTGTTATGGAGAAATTAGGAATGCACCATCCATACCTTCATCACGATGTAAAAGAGAGTGTATAGTATTAAGTTGGACATTAATATAATCAGTAGAAACATGGCAAAATTGTCTTCTTGATACATATTTCCCAATACGGCTAGACCGACGTTACACATATTCGCTAACACGAGCATTACAAATCTGCTGGGATAAAGTGGCCGCAACAAATGCCATATGCCGCAACGTGCGTCTTGTTTGAATGTCTGCAAAGCAATCGAATTAACTGATATTTTGTATCAGGGGAGAGAAATAATATACCTGTATCATTCGATTAAAAACGCCTTTGTTAAATTTACATCGTCCCATGTAATATATCTGCACGGTCAAAACGAAGCATATCAATAAGTGTAGTATAGTGAATATCACCCAAAAGCATACTGAGCCGTTAAAAACTCCAATCAGTCCTATGAATATTATAAGAGCCAGAATTCCGAATGTTACGGGTGCACTGGCATTTATATCGGGATGACGATTTTGATAGATTTTGATCATGCATAACACCGCGATCACGTACATGAAACTGGTGTCTGAAACAAACGATATTATCGGTCGTAAGTCACGTGACAACAATACTTCGTCGCTGCGGTCACGTAGGAGGTGACAAGTTCGCATATTTACAACCTGGTGAGAATCACGCGTAAAAAGCTAGCGTCCGATAATTAATATTATTCATTGCGATGAATGGCGTATACGCGCGAGATCAATCGGAAGTATTTCGTCGCTCTGTTGAACATCAAAAATCATACGCATCGTGTGTTGTTTTGCTTCGTTATTTACGCCGCAACAACAAAGCCACTTACCAAATTGGAAATTGCTGCGAGTAGGACACACGTGGTAACTGGCTGATAGTATGCCCTCCATTATTAACGCGGTACCCATCGCGTAAAACAATCCGTAGTGTTGCGGTATGCCGTAACTCTTGGCTTCCTCCTTGTCCGACTCGTTGTGCTCTCGTGAGCAAGTCAGGAAGATGAACAGCAAACCCAACAAGATGTACGCGAAGTTTGAGAACACGTGATTGGAGTCGGACAGTATACCAAATGGATGGGCGCACAAGAAGTTATAATAGCACATGTCTTGATTACCGGTTGTGTGAAGTACACGTTGATAAGTTATCGCCAATTGGACGACCGGTAGCGTGTAGAACACTGCAACAGTTGCCAGATAATAAAAGTATAAACGAGACTTGTGCCGCAGTATTCTTGGTTCTTTGCGAGCGAGATCGCAGACCGAGAGGACCAGTTTCGTGCGTATTACATCCTTGTCAGAGAGCGCATCCTCCATTAAATCTATGTCGTCTTCGTCCAGTGATGAATCATCTTCCACAGAGTCCCATTGTCTCGGACCGTTCTGATAAAACGCGATATCGTGAATAATCTTGTACAAACACACCTGAACTTTTCAAAAGCCGCACCTCACTCTGATGAACTGAAATGTTCACGAAATGTCGAATCTATGAAGGACGCGACGATAATTTGGGAGCGAAAACGAATGGTTTTAAGGAAAAGATTTTAAGAAAAATTCTTGAAAAATGTGTGTTTATGTAACTCTCTCTCTCTCAACTTACCATTGAACTTATATTTTTCTCTAGCTTGTAATTTAAGATATTAAAAAATGAAAGTACCCTCTGGAATTACAAAGCATACCGTTATTTATCTCGAGTCCCTCTACATATTTACAAAAGTTCATCCAAGTCGAGGAGTTCGCGCGGCGTTTCCTTGCCAGTTTCATTACCTCTGTGGCCACTGAAGGTGCTTGTTCATTGATATCTTGATCCTGTTCATTGATCGTCTCTGATCTCTTGAGTTCCCTGCTCCTCCTAATATTAAATATTACTACGGCCGTTATGTACGAAATGCAAAACAATACAGCGATAGCTGTTGTTGATCCCATTGCAATGACATAATCGCGTTTGGTAATAGTAGAATCTATAATTAATGTAACGCTCTTAGTACGATCGGGATTACTGTTAGACGTGCCATTGCAGTCGACATCGTCCCCTTTAACAACCAGCACGACGAAAAAGCCGCGCGGATAAGTTTCCTTCTGAAACAGGTGATTTTATTACGTGTACAGCCTTTATATAAAACAATTCTCATACGTACTTACCGGTATTGTAATACCACCTTTTCTACTCACAGTCTGCCAGTATCCGGAAAATTCAACATTCCTTTCCAAGTCAAATACAGGACACTGAAAAGAGAAATAGATACAATTTGGTCGATTATAAATGGATCATTATTGACACTCACTGATGTATTTTGAACAGACACAGTCATGCAAATGTCATTGTCGGATTCTACACGAATAAGAACAGATGTATTTTCTGTTTCTCCCGAAAAGACGTAACCATAATATATAGGCTCAGAAGGGGAAACCTCCACTATTTTGGGAACTCCTAGGCTATAAAGAAGATTGTATAGAGAAATATAACAAGAATTCGTGAAATTCTTGAAATATAATATGCATACCTTAGACGAAAATCTATTACTTCCATTACAGTGAGATTAAAAAAAACATTTGTTCGACTAGCTGTAGAAATACTGACAATGATAAAATCCTTTGGGTCTTTCACTGCATATCGATAATATTTTGTTGAGCAGAGAGTTCGACTAGTTTTATTGTATGTCACAGAGTTTAAACCTGTACTATCAACTAGCAAAGGTATTTGCCAAGATAGGATTCCAGTTGTTTGACGCACTGCAATTATCAGGGGAAAACTGTGGGTAGCGTTACTTTCTATCTTTATCCTTGCAGTTTCCAGTGGTACCTGTGCACAAATATATGTATGTTGACTTGTTCAAAATAATAAATATAGAGGAAATAATAAACAACGATTACATTGCTAGCAGGATATAAAAATACATATTCAATGGTACGGTTTATGATGAACGGATAATCTTGTCCATACGCAGCTGACGGAATGACTATTGGAGAGAACGGCGGTAAAGGCGATGGCGACGATGAAGACGGCGCAACAGTTAGCACAGTATCAAGAAGCAGTAATGTAATTATCAATCTCAAAGCGTCCTGTATTGCCATTGTCAATTTTACTAAAAAGAAGTCAAAATAGAACACAATTGAAGACGAGGAGAAAATTCATCCACAGGAAACATCACCCATATCCTGAATATCATTCGATATTTTGCGAAAAATTGATATCGAAGATAAATATAATCGCTAGATAAATAGAAAAAAATTACCATTAGCCGTTTCCCCCATCTCTCTCATCACATGAGCAAACAATTTGTCTTTCTTTCTAATCATAGATGGTTCTGCTCTCGCTATTATATATTTTAATATTTTTCATGTTAGTTTACAAACATTGTAGAAGCCCCAAACGACTTAAGTCCATGTATGACTATGATTAGAGAGAAGCTTGAGAACGGCAGTATACAGTTTTCTGCCACATGTCTTTCGATGCGTCCTCTGAAGAAGTGGAAGTAAAATACCAGCTTATCCATGAGATTCTCCGCGAGAGGTCTTCGCAGTAGATCTTCGATAAAAGGGGAAATCGTTTAAGCCTGACGTACAATCTTTTAAAGCCTGGTTTACAATGTGCGTATTGTTTCTTGCTCTCTAAGAAACCTTTTTCTATAAGAACTTCTATTTATTTATGGAAAAGATAAACAAAGAGCACATTGTGGATTTATTTCTTCTTCTATTACATTACCCAGTCACAGAATAAGATAGTTCCTTTCACAGGCTGACATTCAAATCTTATGTTTAAGACCGCTTAAATATAATCATCTTTAGATGCTTAATAACCAATGAAACGAGCTGTATAATACCTGAATTTAAGATGGTTTTGATGAAGATGAAGAACCGAACACCGGGCCTGTCAGTTTTTTTCCTCTAGATTCTGGGAAGCAAGCTCCTATAGCTGAGGAACACCCCGGATATTTTATTTTGAGGGGAGGCGTTATTTTTGCCTTTCGGCAAGTTATTCTATATTACGTAGGTAGCTATTTATATTTCTGGCCTTGGTAGCAGTAAGTGTTGCCAGGCGCCATCTGACGTTGTCATTGGAAACTTGACATTGTTGAACATAAAAACATAAGAACACATTGTCATTTGAACGCGGTTTGTGTTGTTTACAGTGAATTGAAAAATTCATGTCGGGCAAAAAATAGAATTAACTCGTGAACATTTCCGTGCGATTATTTTTCATAACTTTCGACGTGGATTATCAAGACAAGAGTGTATCGATGAACTTAATTCTTTATACAGCGAGAAAACACCATCCTACAGCACTGTAAAAAACTGGTATAACGAATTCAATCGTGGCCGACGTTCGTTCCTGGACGAATTCCGTGAAGGTCGTCCAAAATCGGTTGTGCCAGAAAATATCGATGCTGTGCGTGAACTGATAAAGCAAGATCGTCATGTGACATACCGTGAGATTGAGGCATCTTTGGGCATTAGTATGACAAGCATCAATAAGATATTGCATGAACATTTGTCCGTAAAAAAAATGTGTTCGCGTTGGATCCCGCATAATCTGACAAACGCTCAAAAGAAGACTCGTATTGATTGGTGCAAGGAAATGTTGAAAAAATACGTTCAAGGTGCATCAAAGGCTGTGTATAACATCTACATAGGTGACGAATCATGGATCTATGCATATGAGCCCGAAACAAAACAGCAATCGACTGTATGGGTCTTCTAAGACGAGTCAAATCCAACAAAAGTTGTTCGCGGAAGAAGCACATCGAAGCAAATGGTTGCCTGTTTCTTCGGCATTACCGGTCACGTGGCGACAGTGGCGTTAGAGCACCGTAGGACGATCAATTCTGAATGGTACATGACCATTTGTTTGCCAGAAGTCATCGGAGAAATTAGAGAAAAGCATCCGCCGTACAGCCCTGATTTGGCACCCAATGACTTTTTTTCTTCCCGCACATCAAAAATAAATTACGTGATCAACGATTTTCGACACCCGAAGAAGCGGTTGATGCATTCAAAACGCATGTTTTACAGTTACCTCAATCGGAGTGGAAAAAGTGCTTCGACAATTGGTTCAAACGCATGCAAAAGTGTATTGATCATCATGGAGAATATTTTGATAAACAATAAAACCAATTTCGATCATATTTGTTTTTTCATTATTAGGCCAGAAATATAAGTAGCAACCCTCGTAATTAGCCGGTCGGCTAAAAGAGAACTCTCTCGCGAAAGGAATTAATGCCAGTCGATGTATCCGCTATCTCGTGACGAACGTTCTGTCATCTGGAAACGCGCCCGATGGAAAAACCCAAGAACTACACATATTATTTAATAATATAATAATATTGTTTTTTTTTTTTTTAATAAAATATACTTCACCATATATAGATATGTATTCACATCATTTTTTGCAGTAAAGAAAGCAAAGTTTGGCATCTCTCTTTTACCTGCAATCACAATTTAGTAATGTATACATGTGTACATGAAACGTGCGGAAGGTATAAAATAAGAAAGATTACTTGTTCTACGGTACGATTTGCTAATTTCTCACTAATTAATTGAAATGAGTTTTCAGAATACTCCTTTTTGATTCTTTGCAGCAAGATCATATCTTCCTGACGTGTCCATGGTTTAATATTCGTTGAATCAGACTTCGATTGCACGTCATCTTCGACTGCAGTCGTTGGAATCGCTGCGTCTTTACTACCTACGATAAAATAATACATATTATCTCTGCTTTTTAATAATAAAATCTGGTTAGCAGCAAACAAGATTGATGGCTCACTTAAACTATATTCAATATTGCTATTTGGAGCACCTTGTGCAATTATTTTCGAGCTGAACGGATTTGTATTTTGTATTGACAATTGCACACAAGTACTGCTTTCGGTACTGCATTCATTGATTTTCTCTTGCTTTATGGCACCAAGTTCATTGCATACTAACAAAATATCGCTTTCTTCAGCCTTATTCTCTTCCTTGCACTGAAGCATCCTTTTATTCGCGATCACATGATCCACAATGCCTACTCTTTTCAAAACTTTCCTTTGATTTGTAGTTTTGAGCGCGAACTTAACACCCCTCTTAGGCTTCACTTCTATTTTTTCGTTATCTTCGTTTAATAGCAAGTATTTCGTAGCGCACTGTTTCTGACAAATGTCATTGTGACTAGAATCATTCTTTTTCCGTCGCTTCTTGGACGAAATTGGCGGGTTGCCGACTTTGTCGGCAGTTTTTGACGACACGCGCGCTATATTTTCCAATTTCTCCTGATCCTCTCCAGGGAATGTAATTTTTGCGGGTCGTAAGCCTTCAGGCGTTTGAAGATAAATCCTTCCGTTAAGAAACTGTATTTAAAGGAATAAGTGCATAGAAGTGCGTAATGAAGTAAAAGGAAGTTGAATTGTGTCCGCGAGAATACGTACCCGTGTACCACAGGAAACACAGTGCTCTGAATTACTTTTAACATCCGTGTTGTGACAATCACACTTGCAATGTTCTCCACCATATGGATCTTCCTGACCTGCTGCCGCGGGTAATTCTATATTCTCATATAGTTCTGGTGCGTTTTCAATGTTAAAAGTTACATTTTTATCACAAGATCCTAATGGACACGTCAAGTTTTCAAACAAATGGGACGCAAATAAGCTGGTGAAAGATATATACATATATTGCAATTTCATGCGATTCCATAGACTTGATAGAATAACGATGACTACCTTTCAGGGGGTTTCGCTGTAGGCAAGACTTGCAAAAATAAATCCATAACGAGTGGATGACCTTTGAAGACAGAACTCATGACGGTATGAACATTTGCCAGAGTTGTGTGTGGATTAGTCGAGAGTTGCGTAATAGCCTGCATCATCTTTGCTATTCGCGACGGTTGTTTGGCAAAATATATTTGCGCAACACGAACAAAATCGTTCATTTTTTGTAACATCATATATTCCACGGATTTATCGATCATCGCGGCTTGATGTGGCTTTAGGAACAGCAAGAAAACTGCGCACATCTCCGGGTAACTTTGCAACTTCTTGCAGATATTTTCATACAATTTCACTGTTAGTATGTCCTTTTGGATTGGTCTGTTTTGTAATGTCTCTTTATTCGGTGAGTGCAATTCTTCGAGAAATGGTGGTGAGTCGCAGACTGTTCGGTCTAATTTGTCACTGTAATCTAAATACAACTTGATCACAGCTCTAAATACTTCTGGATTATTTGACTCCAATGTTAAGAGCAATTTCTGAAAATACGATGCAGCAAATTCTACAAAAATACAGATTAGAAAAGATTTCACCACACACACACACACACACGCGGTCGTTATAATTTACTTGACATACTTACTGGTTTCGCGTTCTTCTTCGGTCAATGGATTTTCAGCTTTTATTAATCTTTTTATAATTTCCAATTCTCTGGTTTGCTTAGCCTTCTTTCTGCTTACGGAATCTTTTATTATTGTAGTACTAGCTAGCATTAATTCTGCTATTTCCTCTTCGTTATCCTATACAAATGTATCGTAAATGTGAATCATTGCCTAATGGTTTCTTCAATATAACAAGTCAATAATAGAACTTACAATTTTTGACACTGTACAGTCGCCACTGACGGTTTTATCTGCGCTGTTCTTTTCTTTAGACTTTAAGGTACTACAATTCTTCGAACCCAAAACTTGTGCCATTAATTTCATATTTTGGGCACTTCTTATTTTTGCTAATCGAGGTGTGGTCTTGCGTAACCCTGATGATATTTCTGGCGAATTGTCAGACACTTTTGAGCTTCTTGTCAATATATTATTTAATTTAGCATTACTTTTATCTTGTAATTTATCCGTCTGTGTTGATTTTATTTCTTCAGCATTTACTTTTAACAAATTGTGAAAAGTTTTATATTTATTTATTCCTGTCTGTTCCTCAGTAGTTTCCACATTATTATCCAATACTTTCTTGTCATTGTCACCAAGTATAGTTCTTTTAGTACAAGTAGCATTCATATTAATATTTGAGTCTTTTGGATTTGAAGTTGTAGGTAATATCTTTGGTAACATATTCACAATTGGATTTCGTAAGGGATGATTACTAGGAACAATAGGATATAACTTCATTGTCTCATTCATAAAAACCTTCTGTTTTCCCAGATTACCATATGAGTTAAACATATGCTTATTAGTTTTCATCGAATCACTTTTGCGATTTTTCTGCTGTAATAAGAAATGGTAACCAATATTAAGTAGAAAGGATGTTATAAAGTTGTTATTACACATATAATGTGATATGAAAATGAAACACTTGGCATCAGATGTTGCAACATGGTAATCTTCGATTTTTCTTATAAACAAAGTTTCAATTGCTATATTTACTTTGCTCAGATATATTTGCCACCTTAAAGGTAAAAATTCTATCGGTTGAGATTTTGGAGCTTTGAGCTCTTCTGCCATTGACACATAGTGTATTATTCTAGGAGCACAACCCTTTTCAAAATAATGCTATAATAAAATTTGATTAATTACACACACGATTACTTGATACATATATATCAAATATGCGGTACATACCTTAATTGGATTTTCTTCGTGAGAAGCGCGACGTTTGGATATATGATACAATATTCCTTGTGCATTTCTGCATGGTAACAGGTATTGATGGGTAAGTTGAGCTGCATCAAATAATTGCATTCTCTTGTTTCTAAATTTGCTTGGTTTGGATGCAACATGTGGCAAAAACTGTTCAATACCAAATGCAACTAAACTAAAAATCGTCATAATTGAGTATAAAGTAAAATTATTTTTCCCTTCGATTACTGAACTATGCATTACACTTACTTTTCTTCCGATTTTAGATATGGTATAGTGTTTTTCATTTGTTTTAATCCACCTTTAAAAGGCATATGTGGTAAAAGTTGCGGATACATAAGTGCTTTGCTTTCAACAAATGATTTTTCTAACTCGGGGAAAAATTGATGATGCATTTGCTGATGCCTCCATTGACTTGTACAGTACATTCTTGTCTTAGTAACTTTCTCCACTAAACTCTTCTTGAAACTTACATAAAACTTTGCGCTAGAAAATTTATTTTCCCAGATGGATACCAGCTTGAGAGCTTCTTCCAAGTTTTCAACGTTAAATGTAGAATTTGGCCCATTGTTCAAATACCTATTAAATATAAACCTCTTTATACATTCATATTTTTTTTTTAAATGGAGACTGTGAACCAGTAAAATTAAAAAGATATCTTCGTATAAATGTACAAGATCAGTCAATTCTTTAAAATGAGAAGAACTATTAGATTTCTCGGATTTATTCCACATTTAAAGCATCATTTAGCGTAGGTGGCTCAAATTAAGTAAAAAAAAAAAGGTATAAGATTATAGTAATTTGTCCATTTAGAATCTATGATGACTGGCTCACTATTTCCTGGTATATCGATTTCCCTCGCCATCATACCTTATGCCATTTAAGTTCTGTTTACATATTTTTGCCAATGAATTATATTCTGGATGCATGTATGTCATAACAAAATGCTGTACCATTAACTGTACATGTTGTCGAAATTGTGTAGCCAATAGAAGACGTTGCACAGGATTGACCAATGTTGGCAGTTCAGGTTCTGCAAGAACTGGCAAAAGGTTTGTAGAGCAATTCTGAAAGATGTAAAAATGTCACGTTACTCATGTACCTTTTCACTAACACAAAGCTGTTAAATATTTCCAAATATAAAAACGATTTAACATTTATTACATTATTTCTATATAATGTCTTAATGACGTTTCTGAAAGCAATTTGTTGAAAATAACAATATAGTTGTTGTGAGTATTACAAGCTACCATGCGTTTCTCCAAGGCAGCAAATTTCACTGCTCTATGAACATAGCTCAAGAACTATACTTGCCCTGATAAAAATAATTTGCTTTACCATAGTATTATCTTCAATCGGTGGTGTGATATTATCTAATGTTTCCTTTTCAGATAACACTTCTTGTTCTTGGGTCGAAAATGTATCACTTAGTTCTTCAAGCAATTCTGCAATTAAATCATATGATTCCTTACGAGAAACTTCTACTGCTTTATCTGTCCTGAGTTCTTCTTTGTCCACTATTAAAAATGTATCTTTATATTAATTTACTTTTAACTGAAAGGTATAAAAATCAATCTAGAAAAGAACAAAAAATAAAAATATAGATCAAGGCCATGATAACACTATAAAATTACAAACACAGATCTATCTCTTCATCTTCCAAAATATTATACTCTGGATCTGCTTCCGGATCATCTTCTGTGGCTAGTTCTTGTGCCAATGGTTGTGTAAATTCTTTCTTAAAATTATCCCAATCTTCATCAGGTTCAAAACCCCAATCATCCATATCAGCAGTTATATCAGGTGGTATAAATGCTTGTTCTATTTGCTCCAAAGAAGTTTCACTCAGAGACAACTTAGAGCGTGTCCTTTGACCAATACTTTCTTCTTGTATCGAAACATGCGGAGTACTTAAAAATATGATATATTACGACCATTATGAAAATATAATGACAATGTTACAGAGAAACACTTAAAATATTTAATTGTATGACATAAAAACTTTGGTCGAGATCAAATGACACAATAGATATGAATAAATCCTTCTCACATACACAGGTATTTTAAAAATCCCTTCAGGATCATATTGTACATGCAATGATTCATGTTGTTCAGTAGAAGCTATATCCACTACATCGGCTGGTGTTGATGGTTGCGATTCTATATCACTATTTGTTGTGCTTTCTACTTCTCTATCATCATCACTCTGTTTATCATGTTCGGGCTTGTATTCTTCATCAGATGAATCTTCAGGTAATTCCTCCTGAATTAAAGCTTGTACTTCTGAGGAAGTTTTGTTGGATATGGTAATAGGCCATGGCATGACCTTTGCATCTGCTAATTTTCTACAGAGAGATATTAGTAAAATTCACACATATATAAATAAGATTAATATAGTCCAAAAACAATACATACTTAGCTTTTGCTCTTGTTAGTTTAGGACCACAATTAACATCATTTTGAAGCCACTTTTGTACCATTGACATTAGGTGTTCATAAGTGATTACATGTTTTAATATATTCTTAACATTAGTAGCGGTTAAATTGGTTTTTGCCGCTTTAGCATCGAGTTGTCTTTCAATTTCTTCTTCCATTTCATTAAGTACCGATATTTCTTCAACAGTCTCTCTTTTATGTTTACTAGATGGTTCATTGTCATCCACTTCAGATATATCTATTTGTAAGTCAGCATTCTCAGAGTCGGTAGAATTGTCGCTGTTAGCGTCGTAAAAGTCGAAATTAATTGAAAAAGACAAATTGCACTTTTTCGGCGAATCATTATGTGAAATAACCGGTGCCAATACGTCAGTTTTATTTTGTACAGGTTTGTTTGTGGATTTCTCCATTTCAGTAAAATTAGTTCTTATTCGGATCCACGAAAATTATTATAAATCCCACCAAACACGATCATCAAAACTTTTCGTTGAAAAATGTTACTACATTTCTCAATCGATGTTGCTAGCAGAGAGAGACGCTCTCCCTCTCTCTCTCTCTCATCAATAACGTGATATCGATTAGCCTGAATTTTCGTGCATGCGCGATGATTGTATTATTATAAAGGCCGTTTTACATTAGTTGCAAGCAGACGCAATGTTTGTCGCGACAGCCAATCAGAAGCGTCAATAGTTGAAACCATTGAAAGCGATCATCAGCGATGATTTTGTCCTATAATTTATGGGTGTGTTCAGAAATCCTACTTGACGGGTAGAGTAATTTTATCAACCAATCATGATAAAAAAAACTATTTTGATTGGTCAATTAAGAAAGAACTACTCTATTCGTCGAGTAAATTTCTGAACGCACCCTATGACGTCGTTGATGGAACTGTCGCGACTGCAGCTTTATTGCGGTCATGGCTTCTCTCTATATCTTACCGGTGACATTTTGCGCGACGGACAATAATTCTCATTGATTCTTCATTTATTTTTTACGTGAAAAGAAAAATGCTATCCCCCCTCGAAAGATCTCCTGCCGTTTTTTATCCGGGTCGTCATTTAGTATTCAAATGAACCGCGAGTTTCAATGAATTGGCACACGGCTGCGCCGTGATGTATCGTTTGATACCGCTCCCACATTTTTCACTGCGCAAGTATGACGTACCTCGTTTGACATATAAAGTGCGTCCGACGGGACGCGTCAGACGGGAAGTAACCCCGGTATAGTGTGTCTATCCTGTTTGTGTAAACTTATCATTTTGAGCGTCTTCCACTCACTGCTATTAAACAATGTAAGTTGCATATGAGCGTTTAATAATTTTATTCTATCTTATCAGCTTCTGGCGGCGCGTAAGATATTTTTAATTTCAAGCTTTAGATTTTTAAACTCACAAGTATTCTGAAAAATATTATTTCACGCATCTGTCATGGGGTAGGTTTAGGAATTTAAATTGTAAATGCGAAATCCGTCAACTATTTTAATATTTCTTTTTATAACATGTTTCGTTTTTGCAATGGAATTTAATTATTAATATCTCCTAACAGGTGTTAGGAGATGTTATTTTAAAGCGATTATCGACGTTATTTAATGCGCACAGATGATCTTATATATACTATATTTATAGAAAATCAATACTTTTAATTTTTATCCAATAGAGTTTATAAGGATTCTTATGACAGTGGCGTAATGTATCTCCTCAACTCTTTACCAATATATGTGTCCAATAAGAAAATTAATAAAAATAACTCAAATTTTCTAACACAGATATATTTTAATTACATGTAATAATTCTTTGTTATAGAAAAATGAAAAGTGGCAGCAAATTGTTAAAAGTCCTCCTACAAGCTTCGGAAAAAGCAGCAAACATTGCCAGAACTTGCCGTCAGAAAGAAGCCTTATTTCAATTATTAGTACAAGAAAAATCCGTAGAAGAAAAAAATCCCCGTTTCTTCCAAGACTTCAAAACATTAGCTGATGTTCTTATACAAGAAACTATTAGACACGATATAGAAATAGAGGTAAAAACATGAATGATTCATAATAAAATATAGCACAATTAAATAATATTAATTTCTCTTTGGGACTTCATGATTGTAAATAGTTTCCAGAATTGGCTAAGCTGGTGCAAGGCGAAGAAACCAATGTATTCAGCAATACTTTGGGAGAATCAATTGTGGTTGAAATTTGTCCATCTAGTGAGGAAACAACAAAATTGCTAACCAAAGTTATGGGCAATGATGTTGTGGCGGCAGAGTTGCTTGCTGCTGAAGTTCATAAGGACATTCAGCTGTCAGACGTGCCAATCACACTGGAGATTCCTACTGAATTTGACATCAATGAGGATGATCTTGGTATTTGGATAGATCCCATTGGTAAGTGAACAAGTATATAGCAGAAACAATATAATTCCAGATTGTGTACATACATACATATACTTGATTGATATTTAGTAGATTTACATTAATTCAGGGCAAGAGTGAAAATGCGCAAAAGTATTTTGGACAGTATTATGGTAAAGCTATGTCTCTTGTCTCTCTATCCTAATTGGTCCTAAATTGGTCTGTAAACTGAGACACGACGCTTGTAAGAATCTCTGTTTGTTTTACAATCTGATAATATATACCCGTGGAGTGACATGTGGAACTTTTGTAGATTCAACAGCAGATTATATTAATGCAACAGAGACGGTGGACGAAGAAACGGGCTTGTATTTAAGCGGTTTACGTTGCGTTACTGTACTGATCGGAGCGTATAAGAAAAGTACGGGAGTACCAGTTTTGGGTGTGGCCAATCAACCTTTCTGCACAAACATGGATTCACAGTGAGTGGCATAAAAAACAGTAGAGAAATATCGTGATATTTATTTTTAATATTTCAGAAATATATATGTAGCTCTAATTTTCTGCTTTATAAAAATTTATTACAACAAACCGCTATACAATAATATTGTATTAATCGGACAGATGGTCAGGAAAATGTTACTGGGGTTTCCTAGAGTGTGGCGTTGGTAAGACTTCCATAAGCGAGGCTCGCAATGTCGATAGGATCATCCTACTTAGCCGCTTCGAAGACGCGGATGTAAAATCAAAATTGTTAAGTAGCGGATTCAGATTGGTGGAGGCAACCGGAGCAGGTTACAAAATACTGAGCGTTGCTCTTGGACAAGCTGCTGCTTACATTTTATCGAAGAATTCCACTTATAAGTGGGATACATGTGGACCACAAGCTCTCTTGTCATCAGCAGGCGGAGGTATTATCGAGTTCAAAGAGTTCATCATACGTCCAAACTCGGAAAATCTAAGTCTGAACTACTTACCGGTCGGCACGAATTTCTCCAACAGCAGAGGCCTGATTGCGTACAGAGATCCTCAGATCTTGGAAACTTTCAAGTGTATTCTATGTAAAACAGCTAATTAAAATAAATGTTTATGCTCGAGTTGCATAATGACAAAGCCTGAAATTCTAAAGGTCTCTTTATAGTAGCTGTACGATCAAATATCTTTTTGAATTTCAGTCGATAGATTTTACGTGGAAAAGTTCCAAAATGACGTTCTTCCGAAATTTCTTCGAGAATATCTTTTTTACTCGAAGAAAACACTCGGCGAGTTAATTAACATGATAATATTTATTGATCAGGCAAATAGATTGTTATATATCATTTGCTAATCGATGTAGCTAACATTTAATTGTGACATGTTAAATGTGGCTCCAAATATAGATTATTCAATGTACGTGTGTGTATAAATATTGTTTATTTTTTCTGTTATATATTTTCAAGCAACACGGTAGTGTCGCGACGCCATATTTCTTCTTTTACTTTTGTAGATTGTATTTTTTTGGTTAGGATTACAGTTTATCTCTCTTCAAGAAGCATTTTGTCCGAATCTAATATCAATTAATCCTTCTCCACCGTGAGATTTCGGCGTGGTCTGCTGTTGATTATCATTATTTGTTTCCGGCGATGTATTCGGCGATGGCGTTTGAGAGGGATTACCCCCTTCATTGTTACCATCTTTAACTCCTTGTTGAACGATAATAAGCGGTTGAGTCCAATAGTTTCCTTCCTGTTCGTGTCTTCGATGACCCGGTGGAACATTTTGCCATCGCCACGGTCCTCTACCAGGATTTTGTGACGTCGTTCGCGTGCTATCGGCGGTAATAATCATCTACAAAAATAAAATGTACGTTTTACATCACGCTTCTTCTATGGGTGCGCGCGCTGCTCCATGACGTATGCTATTTTGTCACGTCTAAACATCACATTTCAGGAAACGGTTTTTCCGATACGAAAGAGGAGATATGAAGTTTCCTCGTATGTAGACATTACCATATCATTCGTCTTCGCGTTTCGGCACACCCATTCGACGTCGGAACCCAATGCAATGTTTTGCAGATAGTCCTGTTGTAGCGGATACGCCCAAGGTGGGCCACGGTTATTTCCTCTTCCGTTTCTCAAGCCAGGATTATTGAAGAAATTCTCCCAATTCTGATAAGTTCCAGATACCTCGACGACTACGAGTATCGCGACCGTGACCAATAATATCCTCATCTTCTGTTTCGGTTTCCAGCGAGAAAAATATAGTATTTAGTGTTGCAAGTCAAATTTTTTGTACAAGAAATTCATGACAAATAAAATATGTCCGAACAATATATATATATATATATATATATATATATATATATATATATATATATCTGAGTCACGGTAATACTAAAAAGAATAGAGACAAACAGAAGACTCAACACTTAGCTATTGACTGAAATACTAACGACGCGATTCCTTATATAAGGGAATTGTCACGCACACAATGCTTTGTTCCCAGAATGCCCGGACTGAATATGATTAACACGAGCGACCACGGAACGAGAATTTTCATTTCGTAAACACTAAATACGATTATGCATTCAGCCGATGTGTACGCGATAATTTTTTATTCATCTACTGCGATCGAGGATCGTTCACTAGTCGATGTGCAACAGCTCTCTGTCGAATATCCGTCCTCGCCGTCATCGTCGTTGTCGTCTTCGTTGAAATACCGGTTTAGAATTTTCAGCTGAATAAATCGCCAAGTTACGCGGGAATCCCGTCGTCGAAGCCGTCGCTATCATTAAGCATCGAATTACAAGAGACCGGCTGCCGCGAAATTATTGTAATTTATGTCACGGTTCATCGCCGCCGCACGTTCAATGTACGAAAGGTCAATGAATGTCGCCGCGACGCGCTATAGTTCTCTTCCGGAATGTTTTCAAGAGAGTTGTTTTTCGTCGATTTGTTTATATAAAATGTAGATAAATCAATTGTATCCCAATTGTGTGGGATTTTATGTAATATTGTACGACATCATTTCGGGTACTTCAGATAAATTCAAATAAGTGTATTTTTGTGTCGTTATAATTTTATGATATCTGTAAAGGATGAAAGATCGTAAATTAAAACAGCGTATACATTGTTTCATAAAATTATAACGATATATTGATATGATAGAAATGTTTTATTTTATCTAAATAATCCGAAATTACTTATTTAATATTTCATAGGGAGATGAATTCGAAAGAATTCAATGTGGAATATTTTGATAAATCGATTGTCCCAATCACGTTTTAGAATTATCGACCTCTGTTATTATTGTATACTGTTGTAAGTAATAACCATGAGAAAAATGAATAAAATAATTCTGAAATATACAGATTCAAATTTTCAACGGACGATAAATTTTGTTACGTGCATCACAAACTGGACAATGTTGTTTCATCAATTTCTTATTATCTAATTAAATTGAAGACTATCTGTTTTTTTTTTTCAGCACCGACGAGATAATACTAAAGACCCTCAGCCCTTGGATAAATTTTCGTGTACGTTTATAGAGGTCTTGAGAAATCCGAAGGTAACTGAAGAAGGACGACATTACCGACTATTTTTAGTCATTCGATACAAACATCTGGATATTTATGATACAATTAGAATTAATTTACAATTACCTCGACGTTCTATCGACATGTATTACAGACCTGCAATATTAAATATTTTTATGAAACTGCATTTTCGCAGTTATTATCTACGCTCGTTTGACACAAATTTACCGACAAATTTATTGACTGGAAGTCAATATTGAACGGCGAAATTTTCACGCACGTTAAATCCAACGTTCTTTGATATTATCTCATCGATGTTTTCAGTTAGTGACCATCTTCGGTGATTTACGCGGTCGTTTATTATTGCGTGCCGATATGCACCGGTAAGCAGAGTTACAATGCCACCGACTAGATGGAACTATTAGAACGAATTACCGTACAATAAGAACCACTCTTTATCTAATCGTATCCGCCTTCGCAGAAGAGATTTTATGGATGAACAATTTCTGCCCAGAAAAAATTTCGTGTGGGATTCAAAGATAAAACGTTCATGCTTAGTAACTCCTTGAAATCGAATAAATAGAATAATATCTAAGCTGAACAAAAAATGAACCGTGTACTGCTAGTACGAAAAATTTCAATTTTCCAAAGTATTCTTGTAGATTTGCCTTTATCTCTTTGTCGCGTCGGCATACATCGAAAACAATGCGACACATCTGTACTATAGAATTTTATTTTTCTTATTAGACTTCGGTCATGTTGTGCGCTTCAAACAAAGTCTTCAATGAACGAAAACACGCTCGTCGTGGAAACACGGTCGTTTAAATACTACGTCTCTCGGATATTTCTTCGCGTGAACTCCCATCACTTCGAACGTTCGAGGAAGCCATCAAGTTATTCGCATTAGTTCGATGTTTTTCTCGCTTTTTTAAATACTTCCTTTCTTTTTCATTTCGATACACACTGCGTAGTATACGAGTAGTTGTAGAATTTAATATTACTTATTACCACGTGCGCGACTATTGAACGACGTAATTTACGGCGGTTGCTTTTGTGAGTTTATTGGGGACATTTCAAAGACTCTCTTATCATTTGTGTCACACGCGTTATTGGAACGGCTATCGTCGGACAGAGGGAATTCGCGCAACATACAATGAAATTCTTTCTCCATAGACAGACGACGATGAAATTAACGCATCTATATCGATCAATGCGAAAGGAATAAATGATTCAACTGTATCAGGTAGAACGGAAAATGATACTAACACGTCAAAATGAAGAGAAAATGATCGAAAAGTGAGTTTTTATAGTCATCTTGACATTGTGATTTTCTATTCCATCTCTGAGGTATAATTAATTAATATATAGGATTTAATTTTGATTTAATTGATCAAATGTCAAGAAACCTTTGCGATCGGAGACAAAGCATTTCATTGCAAAAATCCAGTAACATTGTAGAAGGTAAATCTTATTGAATAGCAGACAATTGTTGCTCTCGTGCGCCTGGTCTCCCCTCTTTTGAGTGCAACTTTTTTTCGGTAAGGAATAATTGACGCGTTTCTCTCCTTCGTGATTTCACGAAACGTACGCGTTGTACACACGTTACGTATGGCGGAGAGAAAGAGAGGGGAGTGGAGATGGCGAACATTAAAACGTCCGTACGCGTTGTGACGGACCGCAAGGCCCGACTAGAGATAGACAGACTGGACAGAAAAAGAAAGCGAGGCGGAATTCATGAGCGTTCGAAATCGAGAATACGTCCGCGACGGAGGTGCCAGATAGATAGGAATTTTAGTTATAATGCGGACCACAGAGAGCATTATTTATTAATAGCATATTCGATACTGCGTGTGTGTGCGTGCCGGCACAAGGGAGTGGCGGAGTACCAGCGAGCGTAGCACGATGAATCGTGGAACGGATCTCTCCGTGTTCCTCCGCTCGACCCAGTGCCCCTTGTCCCTCGACCGGCGGGATAACAGCTCTCTCTCTCTCTCTCTTTCCCCCCCCCCCCCATATCTGNGACGAACGCGCGGTCGCCCTTCTCGCTTATGCAGCTGCGGGACCGCTCGCCGTTGTAATGAAGAGTGGACGGACGCTTTGTCGGCGCCCGCGGCCAAGATCAAACGCACCGACCGCTTCCTCTTCTCCCTGCGCTGTAACCCGACCGTAGCTCTACCGTTTGTTCATCCGCCCCGACGTTCATCTCCCTCTCTCCTTCTCGCCGATATCGTCGGGCAAGCCGCGTCGAGAGCAGTCCGACAAAACCGATCGACGGGCTCTCTCGCTCCTCTATTCGTAACTCTTAACGACAGTTTCGTTATCGTTACGTTGCGCAGGTATAACAATGGCTACGCAACGACGCGCCAGTGACTGATTGCTGTTACAGAATCAGGCTACTGCTGTGCTCGTGGCAAAACCGTATTAAGCACCGTCTAGCAAAAACAAGATGACAATCTGTTCACTCGCTCGTTTGTAATAAATATTTTCCTCGCGCTTTCAACACCATTATTGTCCAATCAATCGACATTCCAGAGCTGACAAGCCTGAAATTATTTAGATATTTTTTTTATACTCGCGTTTGAGAGAGCAGCGATTGAGTTCTCGCCGATGGTAAAATACGCATCTGGAAATAGTTTATTATTAATAGATTTATACGTGCTCGATTTCATGAAGAGAGACTGGGGGAGAAATGTTATTTCGAGACTAGTCTGTATCGTAGTTTTTGAGCCGCGTGTTTTATTCCCTCACTGCTGAACACGAGCGGGGCGCTCTCCTCCGTCTGCCCTTCCTTTCTTAACGTACCAAAACGAGCCGCCATCCCTTTTCCTCTGAATCCCCTCGCAACCCCTGCGTTGCCGCTCCTTCGCCGCCTCTTAAAAACGAGACTTGCCGCCGACTTTCCGACAAAGGAATAAAGAAAAGAAACAACTAGAGCCATACTACGCGGTTGAGGATAGCACGGCAGACCGGCATGGTGGGTAGAAAGCGCAAGGGGGATGCTTCGGTCGGCTGCGCTCAGTGGCGTCGTCCTCCGGGGCCCGAGTAGAAAACGTCGTCGATCTCAGATGCCGATTTTTAACCTGAAAAATCAATATTCGAGCGCTTTGAAATGTGACAGGCTTTCGAATGAGGGAAAAATATGACCGGAGAAGACAGTATGGAACAACAGAAAATGTGTCACAATATATAATTATTCACAAAGCCTCGTTTTCGCCGATCGCTTCTTTTATTTTCGATCGACACTAACGGCGGTAGGATTATGCCTCCCGAAGGTGGCTCTGCGACCGCGGCGACGCCTATGTTTCTTCTGAAACACCGCTAGGAGATAATAGCGCGCGGGTACAGTCCTCAAAAAGAGTATTTTCGATTTGACACGCGGTCTTCCTCGAGTGCTGCGCAGAAGCGATTGTCGGATCGATGTGAGTGAAAAATGCCTCGATGGAGGCACACGAAATCGAAACACTTTTGACCAATCCTCCCCCCCCCCAGCAGCCTCCTCGCTCGTCCGTCTCCCCCTTCCTCTCTCGCGGACTGACTCATTGAAGCGTCGAAACAACACAACCACGTGTTTGCGAACGATGACACGCGTGCAGTCGACGTAAACAGCCGTACAAAGCGATTTAATGGTAAGGGGAGGGGATTCGGGGGGAAAAGGTAGAGCGAGGTTTCTCTTAATAATGACCGCCTGCAATTAGGTTTCCATCGTAATTTTGCTCGCGCGCTTTTATTTATCGCTCGCGAGCGCATATGAAAGGGATCAAGTGAGATCGACGTTGGAGTTATCAAGTAGGGCGGTTAAATTCAAACGATCACTACAATCCGAGAGCAATTTTGCGACTCTAGTGTGATATTTTACGTCAGTGTGACGGAAGGTTTCCTTAAATTAACCGGAAGTTGTGAAAATTCTACCATCATAGCTTAAGTCTAATCGACGATTAACTCAACCATAGATGGATTAAACCATAATGGTTGAAACGCAACGGATAAATGCTTACATCGCAGTCCCAAAAGATTAAGGACGGTCGTTTTTCGAACGCACCCTTTGAATAACATTCCGTGATCATGTAACCGAGGTGGAGGACTCTCAATCCTCGTCCATGCGAACCGGGCTTTGCACGTTTGTTTTTCGGAGGAAGGGAGAAGAAAGGAGACAAGAAGGTTGTCCTACCTTCGGGCGGCTCCGCGGCTCGACTCGGCACTGGATAACGACAAGCCGAACGGTTCACCGCGTGTGGTGGTAATGATGATGGTGGTGGTACGACGCGCGCGCCGTCAGCAGAGGGAATCGTACAGAGAACGTTCTTTTCGAGACGTAGTCGCGGCCGAACCACGAGACGAGCGTGTGTATATTCTCGGGTGAAATGGCCTATCGAGTGCGTCCGCTGCCCCAATGCGCAATGTTCCCGTGCAACGTGAGAAGCTGCCGCGAAGCATGCTACCGTTGGCTGTCTTGAAAGGTCCGTGAGAGTACGGAAGAGGCTGTCGCGTCCGGCTGATAGTAGGCGATTCACTCGCGAGCACGTGTGTGCGGCTTGTATATATGTGTGGTCGAATCTCTATGGTGCGCGCATTAGAAGGAGCGGGATTGTTTACGGATCGGCTGGAAGACGGACCGAGATCGCGTGTGGGCGTTTACGCGGAGGTACGACGACCCGAAGGACAAAGCGGTGCGGAGGGAAAACTCATGACGACCGCACGTACGCACGCATGAAGGTCCCATGGCTACCGGCTTAGTCAAGTGGTGGCGAGCAAGGTTTCTCGCCGGCTACAGGCCCTTTTCCGGTAATGTTTTCCTTCTTCTTTTCCGACGATGACGCGCAATATCCTGCTTAAATGCAAGGAACGAATCCAAATTTTCATTCTTACTACTCGGACAATGTGCACACCATAACGAACGTTTCGATTGCTCATAAGGTTATCAAGGATAGAAGATTTTTAGACGCGAGCTGTATACCCATCTTGAGAATGTGTGTCGACTATTTCAAGTGGAAACGCGCGATGTATGAATTCCCACGTTCATTCAACAGTAGTATTCTAATAAATGGTTAGTTGAAAGCAGCGTAAGAAATACGCGCGTTTGCTAACGATCACTCCTCTCGCATAATTACGCGATATTCTAATCTCACCTTAGCGCGAGTAACATCGAGATCAGATGGTTGAAATTTTCTTCGTTGATACTTGGGCAAGCCCGAGAAATCTTCGATTATCCGGAGAAAGAGACATATCGATTCCTCGACAAAAGAATAACTGTCAACGTTGAATAATGCCAAGATACTATCCAGAGTAGATACCACGTGGTGTTGCGTCATACTTGCACTTCTCTTGGCTTTCGATCTGTATCTATATAGTTACCTGCATGCTTGGTTCTCGTAACGAACACGGAAATAGTGAATATATGCATTCGCTGACAATAAAGTTGCTCTAATGCGATATTTAATCTCGTCACACTAGTAGCGTCTAAGTCTGGTAGTAAAATTGTTCAAATTACCAGATGTTATTAACCATACTTCGCTCATGTGTTGAGCGTTAAGCATAAGTTTTTCTATGAAAATCTCGGAATCGATACATCAGATGTATTAGTCCGGATTCATAGTAGGTGTAGAGTAAGCCTTTTTAACCTTTTGTTCCAAGCAACAATTGTACAATTGTAAATTGTAACATAATTTCTAATAAAAAAATGTTTCCAGCTCTACCAAACATTACAATTTCTACGACTTAAGCGTTATTATTTTATCATGTTATTATTTTTCGTGAAAAAAGGGGAAATTAAAATGGAACATCCTGTATAACAAGTCAAATAACATGAAAGATTAAACAATATGGATGTCTTAAGCCACTTCACATACACATTTTCTTTTGTATTAAGATATTATAAAACTAAAACTTGGAAATACGAAATAAATTTACTTTATGAAGTGCAATTGTTTTTTGTGAGAAAATATAACTTTTCGTTTTTTTTTTAAATCGTCATATTTATGCATTCCAGTGAATGTTACCACAACATAACAGCCTTTATGTTTATTTTCTTTGGAATTGACCTCGTACTGTTTATAATATCGCAAAGCGAATAGTGGCAATCATTAATATTTATTGATTTTGTAACGCTATTTAATGTAGATTCAAATTTACTTTCGTAATACAGGTCGGTTATCAAATTAGTGTCTAAGAATATATGTGAACTATATTCGACATTTTCGGTAATAGTGCCATTACATTTTTCTGTGTAATCTTTTGGTATCGTCAATAGCCTGTTGAATTGCTCTTAATCCGTCATCAATAAGCATACTTATTTACATGGAAAGTTGAAAAACGTCTGAATTTTATGTAAATCGTAACCTTCGCAATTTTTCACAGATAACAGATTGAAAAAAATAGATTAAATACGTTATCTTGCAGTTTGCGTTAACAAATTTGCTATCTCTTGTGGACAATTGTCGTAAAATAAATACATTTGGAAGTATTTTGATACGAGTTGCAAAATCTGACATTATCAATTTTTCACAATGAAGAATATTTAATTGTATGATGGGATGATCGAGATTTTCGACAATTTCTTTATATCGCCATTCTTTTCCTATGGCATGAGTTATTAGTTGCAATAGTGAATCAAAACAGGTTTCTTTTATGGAAACATATGTTTCGTCAATCCGTAGATTTTCGCAGAGATTGTCATTTTTCAAAACTTGTATGCCAACAACATTATGGGATTGCACATAATCCCAATCGGGGCAAGCGTCTAAATAGTTTGTTTTCTTTTTCTCATCATTAGTATTTCTTAATTGTAGCGGTAACTTTGAAAAATGATGACATAATGTTTGTCCAAATAGGTAAATAATGTATAAGTTTCTTTATTTCCAATTTCGATGATGATTAGAGAATACGTTTAAAACGTCTGTGCATTTTTTACTACATTGACCGGGATTCATTCTTAAATTATTTTAGTCCACTCTAACCATCTTGTATGACAATCAAAGATCGATTTCATCTGTAATACGTTCGAATGTAATATGTTCATTTTCTGTAACTTCTTCATTCATTTGGAAACTTTTAATCACACCAATCATGTAAACATATCTCGTTTGTGATTCTACATTTTTTCCGCGTGCAGTACCGATGCTTTCTCACTCATTGGCACAGATAATATTAATTCCAAAAAGTATTCTAAATCGTGTAAATTTTGCATCTTATATGCTTGACAGAAAGATCTGATAAAAAATTATCGTATGCATGTATTCTATTATTTTTTGCAATGGTGTACATATGCTTGATATTAGGATTACCATTCAGCTCCAGAAATACGCTTATATATTTCATTAGATGGATTTTCTCATTGTCACTAATGATCTTATATTCTTCCTCTTCGTTGTTAATAATTCTTGTTGAAGTATTACGATATCGTATTACGATAAAACTTGTGTGCATGTAAATTGTGTCAAACTAAACAAAAGTTGATCATAAAAGAACGTTAAAAAATGTTCTATTGTTAATTAAAGAAAATTGATTGGTACGCCTTGCGGTAGATGAACTGAAATAATTGAAAATTATGAGGAGAATCAGAAAATGCGTCTTTACAGTCGTTTTCTCGTCACTTTGACGTCATCGTGATTTCCTGCTTTACCTTGGATTATCTATTGTTTCTAAATTAGAGTTTGAGCATTCGCTCACCAGTCCTTCGGAGAGATTTTCTTTCTCTTGGGTAGGACACACACACACACACACACACACACACACACATATCGAGTGACTGTTGGCCTGCTGAAGAAGCATAAAAATATCGCCTGCACCAAACATCACGCAGCAGCAACAGCAGGCGGCGGCGACGCACCGGTGCGGATCGGACGCCGCGCGTGTTAAATGCTGTCTTTTATTCGCTCCTCTGCCTCTCTCTTCTGCTCGAAGCCAGAAATTGCGATCGTGCACTGGAAGGACGGGAAAGCGAGCTGAACAAGCAAGCAACAGCGACTTCCCGATCGCTCTCGACTTGCGCCGCACCCAATCGGTGTCACGCGCGCACTTATGGTCGATATACTCCGCGAGACTGCTATAAAAGTCGAAAAGCGCCGAACGATGCGACAGAATGGATGCGGCGACCGTAGAAACGTAAATAACAAACATTACACTCTGTCCGATTTCAAATCACTGCGCGATGCTGTCCATTCCGGCTTTTAACGTCGATTGACGCGGAAGACTTGTCACAGGTGGCTTTTAATCTGTCTGACATGCACGCGATGTAGATGTTCCGCCTGCTACAAAGTAAGGTGGATAGCATTCGGGGAGGGGCTTTCTGAGTTTTAATTGTATCGTCAAAGAAAGAGGGAAAGAGTCGCTTAGAATTCTCTGCCGAGAATTTTAGACAACAATTTGCTCGACCAGATCTAATGCTTCCGCTGAAGCGTTATATTTTATTTACTTTTAAAAACTTATTGCGAAAAGAGTTTAGTCGGAAAAATTTGTTGAAAATCTACAAAGTACTTCGACCCATGTGAACCGTAATTATCTGAGAGCTAATGAATATACTGCCCGACAGAAAATATATTTGGCTTGAGTGTGTCGAACTGTAAAGTTAAAATATACATTAGTAATAAATCATGATATAAATAAATATAAAAAATTAGTTAATTCAGCGGTTGTTATTCAGTTGTAGGAACTAATACGGAAGGCAGCGATTCGGAGGAGTTGTTGACGGGTATCCCGACTACTTGCAACGTCTCATCACCGCCGCCGACGGAGTCACAACCGATTTTAATATCTCCGGAGCCGCCGCAACAGATCGCGGTTGATAGTCCGACCATACCTGCAGGACCTACCGGTAATGACGAACAGCCTACTTGCGGTACAACGAAACAGCTTAGTTTCGAGGTGAAATACTTTGATTTATTATATACGTTGGTATCGGTAATAGGGGTACGATTCACGACGTCGCGTAATCATTTAGGGGAAGAACGGAAGAGCGTCAACTTATTGAAATTGTTTTATTATCTTCAAAGGGTGGCCCATTAAAAAGAAAAAAAAAACAGGAACATTAACTTTGTTGTATTTAGTCAATAATTCAAAGTTATTTCAACTTTTTCTTTTAAATAGAATCATATAGTTTTAACACAATTCTACTTTTAATTCTGATATTTTTCATTACAAGTTATGAAATATCACAAAATATTTTAATAACATCACCTTAACATTTTTTTTTTCGTTCGTAGAATGACAGGTAGAATTGATCGGTGTAAGCAAAGATGGAAAAAAATGTATTGCATTTTGTAAGTGCATCGATGCACCAGTAATCTCTCTTTTTTCTTCTCACATTATTGTGTAAAAAAATTCGTAAAAAGTGATGTTATCGAAGAATGAATATTTTCTGACAAGGATATCTCATGAATGAGGTCACGCAAATCTGAAGCAAAGTTGAAGGACAGTTTGGACCCCAAGTACAAATGTTAAATATTAGTTAAAATAGTAAAATTCTCGACACTGTCTCGATTGCATTTAGCGCAAGCGCGATTATTCTCGTTAACAGGAATTCGAGTGCGACGTGTCGGTGGCGGAAGGCGACAGGAGGCGGCAGGAGTTTTCCTTCACTCTGTACGACTTTGATGGCCACGGAAAAATTACGAAGGACGACATAGCCGGTCTGGTGACCACCATTTACGACACGCTAGGTGCTTCTATACAAGTGCCGCCGTGCGGCAGCAAGACAATTAAGGTCAAACTGACGGTGTCGCCGGATCAGCGAGCCAGCAGTAACAGCAACCAGGCACCGCCGCCTCGCAGCAACACTTGCCTAAATGCCACGCAAACGCCGACCACGACCACACTGCCTGGTGGCAATTCGTCGTCCTGTTGCCATTTGAAGCATGCCGTCCCGTGTGACCATACGAACAGCAGGGTTCCTAGAAGGAGAAGAGCCCCGCGGTATCGTTGTCAGGTGAGATGTGCGTTCCGAGATACCAACGGATTAATAAAGAAAGCTTTTTCCTTCCTTTCGATATATAAAATCGTTCGTCTTCTTTCCTACAGACCGAGCGAAAGGAAGTCGAGACTCACAGCGAGGACGACGATGAGAACGTCCGCGCGAATCGAATGCAGCAGGAGGAACTGCGCAGACGTGTCGGTCCGGTGCCTCATTTACCGTCCCCCTATTCGAACAGCTCTGAGGGTGATGTGAGCGACGATAGCGACACTTCTCCCGCGTTCTCGCCGTTAACACCGCTTCTTACAACGAATCAGCGAAAGCGCAGCGGTGCACTGCAAAGGCAACAATTGTTGGAGATTATTCAGGCCAACATGGAAAAGAATAATCTCAGTTTTCACACGTCACGGTGAGCAATTATTCTTATGAAATTATGTAATAACACGTTAGCAAATCTTGTGGTGTGACTCTTCTTCCTTTCATATATCTTAAATGTTATCAATAAGCACTTCTGTGTATCGAACACAATGGTGACATTTCTTGTAAACAAAATGTATATGAGAGAACACTTCTTTGTTTGGTAAATCCTATTCAATTCAAACGTTAAATTATGAAATAACTTGGCAAGGATCAAGTTTATGTTTCTAATCGACTTTTTCATTCTAAATACATTCCCAAATTGAAATATTTTTGGATATGTTTTCAGACACCCTATTTATTTAATATATTTAATTACTATTTTTCCCGACGGATAGTTTTATGCAATATTTCCCAACAACTTTTGGAATCTAGGTGAAATGATTCTTCTTCACCTTGCCCGCAGGAAACGGCATCAAAACGAACAATCACGCGTTCCGTCTCACAACCCTCAGCAGGAAAGCGTAAATCACAACAATCAAGACTGTCCTGCGGAACCTCGCCAAATGCCCATGAACCATCACAAACCAATGCAGGAAAGCAGCCATCATTCCGCATCGTTTTCCAAGACACCAGCTAAACCTCGGACGAATCTGAGAAAGGCGCGGTGCAACACCTCGCGGAATAACGCGGCGACGCACGCCTCCCAGGCCTACGGATACTCGCAGGTGCTAAATCGCAATGTCATCGTACCAACGACGACGGTCTACAACGACATACCATTGCAGCACATCACCAGCAGCAACAACACCCACCGGAACATCGTGAACCTCTTGCCGAATAACAACCAGCAGGCGGCCAATCACCACCAGACTAATCTGATCAACAATCACAACAACGCGCAGCGCAACAACGCGCAGTTCATTCAGCCGCAGCAACAACAATGCTGCAGAGCCAAGAAGCATCAGCTGAAGCACGCCACCCGGGAGCAGGACCAGGCTCGGGCGATGGCGCAGGTCGTGCGTTGGCTGGAACGCGAGTTCTCGCAAAACGCAGCGGCGGTCACGTCCGGTCGGAGGCACGTCCACGAGCATATACACCATCATTATCATCATTATCACGCCGAGGCTTTGGTCTAATGTCTTACTGAGAAGGTTAGAAAGATATTTCAACTTCACGCTGAAATGTGTCGTGTTCAAAGATAATTAAACTTTAGAGATTGAGCTAAATTTCGAATGAGAATTGCGTGTCGCGAGAAGACGCGGCATGTTTCAAATTTGATCTTCCATATTTATTATCATAAGGAACTCTGGACTGAGTTATCCATTGAATCTCCAGTTTGTCATGAGGCAAACCTATTTATGCATATTTGTCCAATACATCGATGGATATCTAGTACGAATATTAATCATAGTGGATGATGATTACATTATTACATAAGGGAGAGTTGCCAAAACCGTACTACTGAACAAGGTAGACTTGAAATGTTACACAGGAAACGCAATGCAAAATTAAACATTTGGTTGCTTTTTTATCTTATATATATTTATTACTAGACCGCGCTTACATACCATAATAATTCATCCATTGATAAAAAAAATCTTGAAATATCTACGTTTGTATTGAGATTTCCATCTCAGTGTTCCATCTTTTCCAAACGTATAACTTACCGTCGCGTGACAAGCACGAACGACGAAGCGAGCGAACGAGCGATCGAGCGCGGTTATCATTGATAAAATTGAATAACAGTTCGATCAAGAGATTAATATAATTGTGGTTTATGATAATTAAGGGAGAGGAACGGAAAATGAAGAAGGATATAAAGGAAACAGAGGGATGAAGGGGGGAGGGAGGGAGGGAAGGAGAGAAAGAGAGAGAGAGAGAGAGAGAGAGAGAGAGAG